GGCACTTCATAAAACTAAAAAAAAAACATAGCTAAGGAATAATCTATCAAGTATAGAGGATGCCCAAAGAGAAGCAATATCCATAATATATATTTAAAAAATTTTTAAAAATTAAAAATTTAAAAATAGGGCTATAGAACTGAACAGAGAGTGCTCAATAGCAGAAATAAAAAATAGCAAAAAAAAAACCCACCCCTCAAACATGCTCAATATCCTTAGTAATTAGGGAACTATAAATTAAAATAACATTGAGATTTCATCTCACCCAGTCAGAATGGCCAAGAGCCACAAAACAAACACAACAAATGCTGGTGAGGATATGGGGAAAGGAGAATGCTCATTCACTGTTGGAATTGCAAACTGGTGCAGCCACTCTGAAAATCTGTGTGGAGAATTCTCAAAGAACTAAAAGTAGTCAGGTGGTGGTGGCACATGCCTTTAATCCCAGCACTCAGGAGGCAGAGATGGGTGGATCTCTGTGAATTCAAGGCCAGCCTGGTCTACAGAGCAGGATCCAGGACAGGCTCCAAAGTTACAGAGAAACCCTTCTCGAAAAACAAAAAAAATTAAAAGCTAAAAATAGACTACCATATGACCTACCTAGCACTTCTTGTAATATACCCAAAGGCTTCCTCATCATAATCTACAATAACCATTACTGTTCTATTCACAATACCTAAGAAATAAAATCAACCTATAAGTCCTTCAACTGAGGAATAGAGAATGAAAATGTGGTATACATGATAAAATATTATTCAGATGTAAAGAAAAATAAAATCATGAACGTTGCTGATAAATGGATGAAAATAGAAAATATTATATTGACTGGGGTAACTTAGATCCTAACCTAAATCTTCAGAAGTGGGTATATAACCTGAAATAACTGCAAATGTCAGAGAAGCAAAAAGAGAACATGGCAGGGGATGGGTTGGGCAGGAGCACTAGACAAAGGAATTGTAGGACACAGTTGTTCTAAGAGGGATAATGAGTAGGAGACTTACCTAAGGAGGAAAGAAGAATGGTAACACAAAGGGAAGGGGAAGGAAGAGGGATAAATAACACTAAAGATGTTTAGAAAAGGCATAGAGAAATCATTTTTTAATAGCTCCTTAAAATTAGGTGAGTGAGTGAGTGAGTGAGTGAGTGAGTGAGTGAGTGAGTGAGTGAGTGAGGGAGTGTGTGTACATACACAAAGAGAAATACATCATTTAATGGAAGTTACATCAATTGGGGTGACAATGCTCCCCCTAAAATAACATAAACTACCTAATAAAAAACCCAGTGCCAGGCATATGAAACCTACTTTTAAGTTGTTGGTTAGAGGAGTCCAAGACACTGTCCCAAAACAATATAGGCCATTGCCGTTGCCTTTGGTACCTTTCAGACTAGAAGATAAGACCTGATTGCTGAAGACAGCACACACCTCAGACACAGAATTTGGAGGAACTGATCTGGATCTTACCTGGAAGATTCCTCACTGAGGATTAGTCCTCATAGTTTCAGAAAGAGCCATGCAAGCTGCCAATGGAGGGAAGCAATCAAGTCCTACCCAGCTATAATGCCAATGAATAACAACAATGACCAGCATGGCAAGATATCCTGAAAGGTATACTGTGGCACTTACATCAGTAACCAACAGTCATCTGATTGGATTTAAGGTCCACCTAATGGGAGGGAATTCATACCTGGCACAATTCATTTAGCCAGCTACCTATGGCTGGTCAGACCAGGGTACCTAGAGAACCTGCTCCTGCGACTAAACTAGCATAATCTGTAACTGTGCTCTAAATACTCATCGTTATATTCAGAGATAAGTATTGCTCTCATCCATCATCAAATAAGCTTATTCTTACAGTAGATGAAGAATATTATAGAAAGCCACAACTGGCCAAAATGCAAAAATAAACTGATAGTAGGGTCTCTGCCTCCAATCAATACATTAGAACACAACCCCTACCCTTATGGCTCTAGGGACATCACAGAAAAGGGGACATAAATATTGTTAAGAGCCAGAGCAGCTGATGTGAGATATAGTCTTTTCTTTAAAAAAAAAAAAAAAAAACACAGGGGCAGGGGAGAGATGGGAGGGTGAGTCTGGGAGGAGTTAAGGGAAGGAGTGGGAAGAATATGATCAAGACACCATATTCTCTAAGAATTAATAAAATACTAATTTTATTTATTTATTACCTTTATTTATTTTCCTATTAAAATTTTTTCATTCATTTTTTTACACACCAAAGATCCCCCTCTTTCCTTCTCCCCTCCCCAGCCTCACCTCCCAATCTACCTTCCACTCCCCCCTCACAAGGAGGTAAGGGCCTCCCATGGGGAGGCACATCCAGTAGAGGCAAGTTCAAGCCCTTCCCCCTGCCTCAAGGCTGCACAAGGTGTCTCATCAGAGGTTGTGGGCTTCAAAAAGCCTGCTCATGCACCAGGGATGGATTCTGATCCTACCACCAGGAGGCCCCCAAGCAGATCAAGCTACATAATTGTCTGGATATGCAGAGGGTCTATCTAGCCCAATCCCATGTAGGCTCCACAGCCATTGATCCAACTTTAATGAGTTCCCACTAGTTTGGTTTGGTCGTCTCTGCAGTTTTCCCCATCATGAGCCTGATGCACTTGCTCATAGATTCCCTCTTCTCTCTCTTTGACTGGACTCCTGGAGCTCTGCCTGGTGTTTGGTTCTAGATCTCTGCATCTGCTTCTATCAGTCACTGGAGAAAAGCTCTGTGATGACAGTTAAGGTATTCACCGGTCTGATCACTAGGGTAAGCCAGTTCAGTTCAGGCACCCTCTCCATTATTTCTAGTAGTCCAAGCTGGGGTCATCCTTGGGGATTCCTGGCAACTTCCCTAGCACCAGGTTTCTCTATCCTCATGATATCTTTCTCTCTCTCATGTTATCTTTTTCATTACTTTCCTACTTCATCCCTGTTCCAGCTCAACCTTCCCATTCCCTTATGTTCTCATCCCCTATCCCCTATCCTCCATTGCCAACCCCTCATCTCCTGTTTACTCATGGAGATCACATCTATTTTGCCTTCCCAGGGTGACCCATGAATCCCTCTTTGGGTCTTCCTTGTTAGCTAGCTTCTCTGGAGTTGTGGGTTGTTGTCTAGTTATCCTTTGCTTTATGTCTAGTATCCACTTATGAGTGGGTACATACCATGTTTGTCATTCTGAGTCTGGGTTACCTCACTCACGATGATTTTTTTCTAGTTCCATCCATTTGCCTGCAAATTTCATGATGTCATTGTTTTTTACTGCTGAATAGTATTCCACTGTGTATATGTACCACATTTTCTTTATCCATTCTTCAGTTGAGGGGCATCTAGGTTGTTTCCAAGTTCTGGCTACTATGAATAATGCTGCTATGAACATAGTTGAGCAAGTGTCCCTGTGGTATGATTGAGCATTCCTTGGGCATATGCCCAAGAGTGGTATAGCTGGGTCTTGAGGAAGATTGATTCCTAATTTTCTGAGAAACCGCTACACTGATTTACAAAGTGGCTATACAAGTTTGCACTCCCACCAGCAGTAGAGGAGTGTTCCCCTTGCTCTACATCCTCTGCAACATAAACTGTCTGCAGTGCTTTTGATCTTAGCCATTCTGACAGGTATAAGATGGCATCTCAGAGTCGTTTTGATTTGCATCTCCCTGATGACTAAGGATGCTGAGCAATTCCTTAAATATCTTTTGGCCATTTGAAATTCTTCCTTTGAGAATTCTTTGTTTAGCTCTATAGCCCATTTTTTTAACTGGATTGTTCATTACTTTGATGTCTAGTTTCTTGAGTTCTTTATATATTTTGGAGATCAGCCCTCTGTCAGATGTGGGGTTGGTGAAAATCTTTTCCCATTCTGTAGGCTGTAGCTTTGTCTTATTTACTATGTCCTTTGCCTTACAGAAGCTTCTCAGTTTCAGGAGGTCCCATTTATTAATTGTTGCTCTCAGTGTCTGTGCTACTGGTGTTATATTTAGGAAATGGTCTCCTGTGCCAATGTGTTCAAGACTATTTCCTACTTTCTCTTCTATCAGGTTCAGTGTAACTAGTTTTATATTGAGGTCTTTGCTTCACTTGGACTTGAGTTTTGTGCATGGTGATAGATATTGATCTATTTGCAGTCTTCTACATGTTGACATCCAGTTATGCCAGCACCATTTGTTGAAGATACTTTCTTTTTTCCATTGTACAGTTTTGACTTCTTTATCAAAAATCAGGTGTTCATAGGTGTGTGGGTTGTCAGGGTCCTCAATTCAATTCCATTGGTCCAAAAACATGTCAGTTTTTATGTCAATACTAAGCTGTTTTTATTACTATAGCTCTATAGTAGAGCTTGATGTCAGGGATAGTGATACCTCCAGAGGTGGCTTTGTTGTGCAGAATTCTTTTAGCTATTCTGAGTTTTTTGTTTTTCCATATGAAGTTGAATATTTTTCTTTCCAGATCTGTGAAGAATTGTGTTGGGATTTTGATGGGGATTACATTGAATCTGTAGATTACTTTTGGTAAGATTGCCATTTTTACTATGTTAATCCTACCTATCCATGAGCTCAGGAGATCTTTCCATTTTCTGATATCTTCTTAAATTTCTTTCTTGAGAGACTTAAAGTTCTTGTCATACAGGTCTTTCACTTGCTTAGTCAGAGTTACCCCAAGGTATTTTGTATTATTTGTGGCTATTGTAAAGCTTCAAATGCTTTAAACGAGAAAAAAAATAAAGTGTGACAGAAATTTGGGGAGGGATTGAATCAAGGAAAATGGAGAAAGAAAATGGATATAACTAGAAAGGAAAATAGTGTAAATGTGGTAAGGAAGAAAGTGAACATTTCTAAAAGAGCAAGAAAATACAAGTCTATGTGCTGATGTTATATTGTTGAGCATTGACTGACATTTTTATTCTTTGAGCTTCCAATTTTATGACCAAAGTTCTCCACATTCACAGGAAGATTTGGGAAAATTTATTTTAGAATATTCACCAATAGGAAAAACTTACTGGCTCCACAATATTGAACTTCTTGGATTCTTGAACTTCCTGGATTTGATAGACATAATCAAGAGAGGACTCAAAGAAATTGTGCCTTTCCTTATCCACCTGGAGGTCTGCCTGTAGAAAAAGGGCAACAAATGTCATAAGTGGCATGGTCATTTTTAAAAATCAGGAATGATCGAATCAGTAAAATTCTATAGCTAAAGAGGCATTGAGTCACCTGCAAATATCCTATTTCTATTGTTTTCTTTAATTCTATTTTACTTTAATTTACAGAGAGGAAATATGAAACCAGGAGATTAAAGACTAGGCTTTCTATTTCTAGTCTAGCATGGAGGAAGCTTGGGAGTTACAAAACTGATTTTCAGATCAGGGAAAACACTGAACAAGTTGGAAAACCTTTCTTCTCAAATCCAACAGAAAATTAAAGGCATGGGGATAAGTGCCGCCGCAAAAACTGGACTAGAGGTGAATGGAGAGAATCGGAACTCCATGAGAACAGACATTGGAAGTGAAAGGTGCTCAATGCTAGGGGATCACCACACTCACAGAATAAATTGCTAAGAAAATACAAAGCAAAGCAAGGGCTGCAAAGGAACTACAGCAACAGCGAACTAAGACCAACTTAAGCCCTATCCAAATACGCATGAAAGCTCACACTAAGCACTTACTTCAGTTTCTTTATGCAAACATCCTGTCTGCCTTTTAAGCAGAAAAGCAAAAAGGCACAAAAAAAATCAGAAGCAAGAGAACAAGCATCAGAAACTAACAAAGAGAAGGCAGAGGCTGCAGAATGATGAGACCATGGATTGTAAGCAACTATGGTAAAATGAAAAGGGTTCAATATTGCACGTCATTGGGAAATTTCAAATGACAACAGAAATGTGATACCACTATACACCTATTAGAGTGGCTAACAGTAAAAACACTGACAACACCAAATGCTGATAAAAAAACATCAAGCAAAAGAAAGTTTTAGAGCTTGTTGGAAAGAAGAATGGTACATGTTGGAAAATAGAAGATTCCTAAAAAATAAATCATCTGCTTACAATGCAACCCAACTTTTGTACTCTATAGCATTTACCAAAACAACCTCAACAAAATCTACACATGAATATTTATCATGGCCATATTAATAACTGCTGAAATTCAGAAGAAAAAATATCCTTCCATAGAATATAAGATACATATGTGGTACAACCAGACAATAGCCCTAAAAAGACATGAGCTAGCTATCAAGTCATAAAAAATATAGGAATAATAGACACATATCGCTAAATAAATCAATATGAAAGGCTCCATGCTGTAGGATTCCAACAACATGACATTATAGAGAAGACAAAAATATGAAGATCAGTGGCTGCCAGGGATTTGAGATGAGCAAGCATGGAGACAAGAGAATTTCAGAACAGTGAAGCTAATCTCTATGATACTACACTAGGCACGTGTCATTATACACTTGTCAAATACCACAGAATGGGGCTAAAAGAAGAGTAATTCAGTATCACAGGTCTTGCCTAGAATGTGCAAGCTTCCAAACACAACAAAGTAAAAACAAACAATCCGTGTCCCACGGAATATAACACCCATTTGCTCACCAATTGTAATAAATAAGCCCAGGATCTTAATAATAGTGAAAATGTATGTCAGGGATCCAATACTTCACCTCTGTACTTTCTACAGAGTTCAGTAGAACAGTTCTACTCTGTTCTTTCATTGTTTTCTTTAAGTTACATGAAATCTGTCTCATTTGTTATAACCACATGTGAATGTACAATCATCAAATAAAAAATGAAAGGAAAGAAACTTGTCTGGGTTATAGCCCAGTACGCACTCCTTCTTGCCCTGTCTTCCTTCCCCAGAAAAAAGCCTAGACATACCCTACACAGTGTCTCTTGACATCTTTCACACTATTCTGAGAAATGAGGCAATGTAAGAATAAAACAGAAAAGTGATTTAGCAATGACATGATTCTTTCTTTGTTTCCTTTTGGGGCACAGGGTTTTAAGTATCCTAGGCTGGCCCCACACTCTCTATATGGCCATGGATGGCCTTGAACTCCTGAGCTACAATTGCAGCCTTCTCTCTCTCTCTCTTCCTCCATCTCTTCAAATCTTTCTTTTTCTTCATTTCTGAGACAGAGTCTCACTATATAGAATTGATTATGTAACCCAGGCTGCCCTCAAACTCACAGCAATCCTCCTGCCTCAACTTCTTGAGTGTTGAGATTATAACAATTACCTACTACACCTAGCTTTAAAATAGCTTTAAAAAATAAAACCTCTTCATTTTTTTTTTAAAAAAAGGGACTCAATTTCCCTTACTTCATTTTTTAATAAACAGAACAATGGCTGCAGCCCAGCTCATCAGAAATGTCAACAAAGGCTGGGTATGCTGGCTCATGCCTCCAATCCCAGCACTCAGGAGGCAGACACAGGGAGACTTCTGAGAATATGAGGACATTCTGGACAAAGTGCAAACAAGGACATCTACATAGTGCACAAAACCACTAAAATACTCGAGATATCTTCATAGCAAAACCACCAACATGTGGACTGTATCCTCATGGGTCCCTATGACTATCCTCTGATTTGGTAGTCACTAAGAGGATTCACAGGACTGGGGATTCAACATATAGTCATCATCCCAGATAGCATTTATTTCAGTGAAAGGGTACAAAGAAAAGTCACCAAAGAAGAAAGGTGTGAGAGATCCAGTCTAGAAGAAACTTTATGTAAGTTACTAAGGGACTCCATAGCAGTTTTACAAAGGGTACATGAAATTCCTCTTTCAATAAGCTCTAACAATAGAGTAAAAAGAGCTGCCAGAGACGGTGCTCTAGAGACTGATGATAGCCCTAGGTTTCCATTGGGCCTGGTAACATAGGCACGCCCTGCCTAACATGAGTTATAATTCTAGACTGTCTGAGGAACAGGTACTTGAGAAAAGCCACACTGTCTGCAAATGCAGCTTTGCACAGAGAGCCACTATTAAAATAGCCTTTCTAAAAGTTCCCTCACCCTCCTTCTGTTTAGACAGCATCACTTTGGAAATTATCCCTGTGCTCTCCTTACCTGCTGCAGATAATAAACATTTCTCCACTCTTTGACGTCTTGGCCATGTTTTTCTTTTCTCTTTCTTTCTTCCTCCCTTCCTCCTCTTTTTTTTCTGTTCTTGCACTAGTCAAGATGTGAGCCCACTGCATTTGACTACACTATCTTGTCTTTCACTAGTCTTTTAGAGTAACATCAATTCTGAACAAATAACTTGTCAAGAGTCTCTCATGCCTTTCAGCCTTGAGGCTACTAGCTTTGGTCTAGGGCAATTTCTCCATTTCTATTTGTTATACATTTTATCTTTTTTAAAATTATTATCCAAATTGGAAAGGCACCTTTCTTCCACAGAGAAGATTCCTCATCCAGGCTTATGTCTTCACCTTCTCATTCCCCAGGTCCCTCAAGACTATTAATAAACAAACTTTTTACAGTACAGAAAGAGCCTCACTGCTATGAGATTAATGCACATTCTTGACTTAGATCCTAGCTATAAGGTGTAGAATGACAAGGACATTGTATTCGTGTCCCTGTAGTCTTGTTCCACCCAGTGTAAAGATGATTTGGTACATATCTAGTAAACAGTGACTTGGGAGAATCGTAGCCACTGTAAGTCTCATAGAAGCAGCAGCTGGGGTGCAGCATTTCCTTCCTCCACCAAAGCAGGCAATGGGATACCACAAAGGGAAAATATCTGCTCCTTCTATACCAAATCCAATACTAGTTGAAATCTACCCAATTCTACATAGAATCTAGAATCACAGACTTAGGAACTTGGAATTGAAAGTGACACTGGAGATACTTGATTATGACTCTTTCACACAGTGGGACTGGCACCAGGAATAAAGTTCCTTACAGGGGAAGTTAATGGAGGAACTGGCTCGAGACTCAGAGAGCCCGGGGCCTGAGCCTGGGGTACTCCCTGTAAATGTTTCCATTGCTCCTATTGAGCCAGTTTATGGAGAAAGCTCACCAGCAGAAATGACTGTGGTTTCTAAGGCACAGCACAAGACGGAGTCAGGGATAGACATGGTAAACATACCTCTAGCAACTGAGACTCTTTCTTTTTGGATGACAGATGTAAGTGCCGGTCCAGTAATGAGTAAAACCTCTCACCATCCTTTTCAAATTTCTTCTTCCTCTCCTAGACATGGAACAGAAGCTTTGCATTAAACTTCTATGGTTTAATACCATGGACTCAGAAATGAGAAGGGAAGATTCAGGTTTCCTGTGGTCAGTTCCTGCAGCTCCTGGGAAGGAAAGAAGAACTACAGCCAGTGAAGAATGTGCTCCTTTGCACTGATCGAGGCTGTTTTGGTTTCCTCAACTATGACCCCAAGTCATTCTACCTGCAAAAAAGGCAGTTCCTACTGGTAGAGCCGAAGCCTCTGCAAACTCTCGCTCCAAAAATGGCACTGTGGGGGAGGGGGGTTCTCTGTTGTTGAACACCCTTTCTTCCCTTCACATATGGTTATCATTTATTTGATCTTTCAAAGAGAAAAAAGAAACACAACTGTGAAGTAAATATAGCCAGGAAAGGTTAATCTGTATGAATCTGAATGACTTCAAACAGCCTCCATTCCAAGACAATAAGAATCAAGGACTACTTCTTTGAGTGAGTTATTTGGTGTTATTTAAATATTTATTGCTGCATATTAAAAGCTGATGGAGAGAAATCCGGGAAGATTTAGATAGGAAACAAGAATTCACAGCTAGCTTTACGGAGGGGGTGGAGGACTCAGCCTTCACTCTCCTTGGGGGATGAAATGTAATTAACTTCTCTGCTGTTCAGTACAAGTATCAGTCACAGAGCTTCTAAAGAAACACTGACAGTACACATTTGTCACAGACTCATTGTTATGATTTTTTTCTCATCTTAACAGGAGCTCAAGTTATTTGGGAAGAGGATCCTCAGTTGAGAATATGCCTCCATCAGATTGCCTGTAGACATGTCTGTGTGGCATTTTCTTGATTAACTGTCGATGTGGGATGGCTTAGCTTACTGTTGAGTGGGTACCACCCGTGGGTAGGTGGTCCTGGGATGTATAAGAAAGCAGGTGGAACAAGCCATGAGGAGAAAGCCAGTACAAGGCACTCCTCCATGGTTTTTACTTCAGTCCCTGCCTCCGGGTTCCTGCCTTGAGTCCCACCCTGGCTTCCCTGAATGATGGACTGTGATATGGAAGCCAAAGAAACCCTTCCATCCCCAAGTTGCTTTTTTCTCATGGTGTTTTATGACAGCAATAGAAACCTAACTAAGACAGAGACTGGTACCAGAGAGTGGAGTACGCCTGAGCCAGACACCTCCCCAGGTTTTGGGAGGGCTATGTAAGGATTTTGGGGATGTTGGGCTAGAAAAGGGTTCATGCTTGATGAACTAATAAGGTAATTTAGGAGAAAATGCTGACAGCACTGAAAATGATAGAGGCCCTCTAAGACTGTTTTCACCGTGTGGACGTTGAACGGTGTGGTGCCAATAAAAAACAACAACAAAAAAAAAAAACATTTCATGCTTGTAAGATTTCCTTTTTAAGGTAGACTGTGGGTGAATTTTAAGACTTTCAAATAACTGCTAGGATAAAAATTAAACTAAATTTGAATTTATGGATTGATTTGAATTGAAGTAACATCTGTAAAAAAAGGCAAACCATTTGTGAGCATGAAATATCACACGTTTTAAAGTATTTATTATTAATATAAAAGGTGTCACTACTTACATTGGCTAAATATGGCAAATGTAGAAAACAATACTGATTTTCATAAATGACTTATAATTGTCAGGCTGTCTAAATTTCATATAAGGCTTATGCTAATAATTAATGATAATATTTTTGCATTAAGTAGCTACATCATCTGCAAAGTGTGGCAATTTATATTCTCATATTGACACATTACTAAATATCCATTCTTAGAGCACCAGTCGAGGCCCTGCAGAATCTGGTTAAACAGCACTACGGGAATGGGTACCCTTATCTTCTTCCTCACGTAAGAGGAATATATTTAAAGTTTCTCCACAAACTTATGTTGACTTTAGGTTTTTATCATGCAATCATTACTGAACTAATGAATTCATCTTCAGTTCTAGATTTACTAAAATAAATATATGATTTATTTACTTTACATGAATAATGAAGGGAAGCCACTGCTTCATTTCCAAGGCTGATTTTGAGGGAGGGGTCTGAGATAAGCACTACCTGGTTATGATGTATTTTTTAAGATTTATTTTTAATATTTTTTTTAAATTTTGTATGTGTATGGGGGGAAGTATGTGCACATGAGTACAAGTGCCAGCAGAGGCCAGAGACATTGGGTCCTTTGGAGCTAGAGTCACGGACACAAGTGACCACCTGGTGTGGGTGCTAGGAACTGAACTCAGGTCCTCTGGAAGAACAGCAAGTGCTCTTAACCTCTGTGCCATCTCTCTAGGCCTCTCATGGTATATTTTCATTACTGTAAGATTCAGAAAGCTAGCATTTTATTTAGGAATTTTGTATTTATGCTCCTAAAAGTAATTTGTCTTCATTCTGGTATTTTTCATATGTTATTGTACTAGCATTATAAAATGTGCTGGATAGTACTATTGTTTTAAAAATTAAAACACCAAACCTCAGAGGTATTAACTTGCTTATCCAAGGACACCCAGCCATTAAGAGCTAGAGAAAACTACTTACAATATCTTTACTTAAAGCCAGCATTGACTACTGGACTCAGTTTATACACCTTGAGAGAGATGATGTCTTGAATAGGATTACTAATTCTCAGACGAAACACCATGACCAAAGTAACTTGGGGAGGTAAGAGTTTATTTAACTTACATTTCCACATCACAGTTCATCATTGAAGGGAGTCAGTACAGGAATTCAAAATAGGTCAAGAACTTGGAGGCAGGAACTGATGCAGAGGCAAGGAAGAAGTGATGCTTACTGGCTTGCTCCCCTGGCTTGCTCAGCCTGCTTACTTATAAAACCCAGGACCATCAGCCCAGGGATGGCACCACCCACAATGGGCTGGGCCTTCCCTCATCAATCACTAAGAAAATGCCCTAATGGCTTGCTACAGCTTGATCTTATGGAAGCATTCTCTTAATCAAGGTTCCCTCCTCTTGGATTACTTTAGCATTTGTCAAGTTGACAGAAAAGTATCCAGCAAAGACAGTGATATGGAACAACCTTCTGTCTTTGTACAAAGGGTGCCCTCCACTTCTCGTTTTCCTCCTTCTACTTCACTAGCCAACTACAACTCATCCTTCAGGATCTTATCCCTTTATTCAATGGAGTCTTTTCTATGTCTTTCTCAATGCCCCAATATCCTAGTCTGGGTTTAGGAGTGCTTCCTCTGATCCCTCAGCATTATATACATAAAATAATAACATAAATCAGCATTCAGAAGTTTGTGAGGAAGAACGACAATTTTAGAAAAGAAAAGAGTGGGTATATAGGAGGAAACGAAGATAGGGATGAAAAGAATTGTAGAATTGTAGAATTATATGCATTACATTAATATTTTGTTCACTCTAACACAATCTAAAAACAAGAAACACTGTTGCTCCATCATATGTATATGAGACACTATAAGACCATTTATATGCACTAAGACTGCTACACAAAACATAAGGAGAACGGACTATCAAAGTGTGAAAGCTATAAGCAAACTACAATTTTCCTTTTACTTTTAAGGCCTTTTTGTAAGCATACATTTAGCATTCTAGTTATACAAATTCTTTTATCTGTGTTAGACAAAATATAGGAAATAAGCTTGTGTCAGGCACAGGCATTGCCCTGAGGGAATCTAGAGAAGGCAAGGCCATTGGAACCAGCTTAAAAGGCCTTAATACTCCAGTAAGGGCTAGAAATATACCTTAAAAGTCCATTTTGCCTTTCACTTTATAAAAATGAATGCTGGCAATAAGCAAACATCATGTTTCATAAACAGAATAAACGAAACACAAATTACCTATGGAGAGTGTTGTTTCTTCTATATTGGTTTGGTTTTTCAACAGAGCTTTGCTATATAGCTCAGACTGGCCTTAAAATCCTCCTTCCTTAGTCACCCAAGTGCTTGTGTTATGGGCATGCACCACCATGTCTGACTGAGATTACTGTTTCTTATGTTTTTGCAAGGGTCTATCTTTCTTTTCCACTGAAAAAAGCCATTCTTTCTTAGTGTTATGTACTGAAGTGAGTGCTGAAGAAACCATGTGTCCAATGAAAAATGTTTCATGTGCTTTGCATAGCTCCACCAAAAAAAACCTGTTGTGAGGAAGCAGTTGGATGGGGCACTTAAGGAGCATGACAAATGTCTAGAGAACACTATGTCCAGGCAGGCAGAGCTAATCAATTTCTATCCTCTCTGGAGAAAGTTAACATGAACTGCCAAAGGTTTAAGACATTGGTTCTGGTTCAGCAAATCTCCATGCACTGAAGAGGCTCTTTTTCTGGCCAGATGAAATTAGGATCACTTGGGTTGACAAAACCAGCTGCGAAGCTGACAGCTGTTTCTCTCTCTCCCTCCTGCTTTGGGAGAGAATATGAGCTTATATTACTGTCTCCACCCACTTGCACCAGTGTCTGTGGCCCCAGAATACAGCACAGGGAGGTCTGTGTGGACAAGGTATTAATGACTCTTTGTACATGATGGTGATGCTGCTGTCAGTAGGAAATGAGACCTTTGCATACAGCAACATATGAGGGCCTTTCATGGGAATACAAAGAAAAGACTTACTATGTTGCTTATTAAAAATGATGAAAATGATGACCTCAAAAAATTGAAAACAGAGAACAATAATTCAGGATTTTTTTCCTGTGATGGAAGTGATGGTAATGCTAGGTTTGCTCAACCCAAGGCCTCATGTATATGTCTTAGGGTTTATATTGCTATGATAAACACCATGAGCTTAAGTAACTTGGGAGAAAAAGGGTTTATTTTAGCCTAAAGTTTCATGGCACAGTCCATCACTGAAGGAAACCAGGACAGGAACTTAGAAGCAGGAGCTGATCCAGAAATCATAAAGGAGTGCTGCTTGCTCGTTTCCACAGCATGCCTTTTTCTAGCATCCAAAACCACCAGTCCAGGGGCAGTATTGCACATAGTGAGCTGGGCTCTCACACATAAATCATCAATCAAGAAAACGAACCACAGGTTTGC